TATTTAAAGTGATACCAAAAAAAAAATCAAAATATTTTTATAAAAACTATCCGTTAAGTTTCATATTATATGCTCAATAAATGGAAAATATGGTTCTTTTAGATTTATTCAAAATACATTCATTAAAATGTTTGATGGCATATATTGGGCTTTTTTTTGGGGGACATCTCACATGGATTTTATGTAAATATGTACTTAATCTTAAATTATCTGTTTCACCAATATAGAATTCACCACAATTTGCACATTCTAAAATATATATTACATTCTTAGAATTGCAATTAAATGAGTTATTAATGGAAAACAAAATTTCTTTATTATTGTTCCATATAGTTTTGTGTATCCTACATTACATAAATTACTCTTTCTTTCGCACTAAAAATATCTTCTTTAAAAAAAATCTCTTTCTTTAGCTTTATTCAATAATCTATACAAATTTTTTAGGTTGCCTTTTCGATAGAATTATTTTATTATATTCGAATACATCTTTCAGTTTTTTATCTACTATTTGTTCTAACTGTGTATTAACAAATGAAATATCACTATTGAATAAATAGGGTTATTTAAACATTTGTTTAACAACAAGTAAAAGCTTGCAATGGTATATTTTTTCATTGGGGTGTGTGTGTGTGTATCTGTGAGCCAGACTAGTTTTGGAGAATTCCACTCCTCATCAGTGACCCTGGACACTACCACTAATGAAATACCAAACCAAGCCTTTATAATAGTGAGGTATCAAAAATTGAACTGGTGTATTTAAGTGTTTTACACTCACATAAAAGAAACCTATCATTCTATAGGTACTTGAAGAACTTGTAGCATTCCGACACAATTTAATTCTTCGTATTGTTAGCCGACACTGGGCAAATGTTTAAACAACTCTATTTATTCAATTATGTATAAGCTGCCCAGTGTCAGCTAACAATACGAAGAATTAAATTTTTTTTTGCAGGTACAGTACATGCAGTTGTTGTTTTTTTTACTACGTTCCTCATAATTTGTCCTCTGCAAGTTCAAAATCGGAAGAATATGAAGATTGCATTTCAGTATTTTTTTTATTATTCCTACAAGTCACTGCCTACGAGGCATTTCATATGTATCATAACCTGTCATTTGTGCTGGACAATGAGACATAAAAGATTCTCAGAAACACCATTTATATATATATATATAATATAACCTACAATTTATTTATTTTATATGTAGATATACACACCAACAAGTAAGTGAACGTGCCAACAAAGTTCTAATATAACTATTTAAAATTATATCGTTTATACAAAAGTATAAAAGGTATCATTTTAAAGTGAAAATGTTTGTGGCTATAGTGTTTACCCAGTTATACTTGAAAGTTATGTCCTTAGAAAGGGAGGAGGAAGGTGGGTTTATAGTTAGTAGCATCATTAACTGAAATATTATTCGAAGTATTACTGGTAATACTGTATTGAATAGTTATTACTATCTTGCAATCATAAAGTGTCAATATTACTACTAGAAATATACAGTAAGGTTGTATATTTCGTAATTTAATATCAAGGAGTAACTATACAAGGGAGAAGGTTGGATGATGTTTTTCAAAAGAAATCAAGGGTGGTTTAATATCTGATTTATATTTTTATGGTTTTTTTAGTGACAACTATCATACCCACAACCAGCTATAGACAGTGAGTGATAGTGGGATCTGGGACATTGTGGGCTCTAGCACCCAGAACTTAATCCCCCCCTTTTTTTCTTTCGGTAGTCTGCATCTGTTGTTTTGATTATGTCTGATAGACGGAATATTCCCAACGCTTTTGGGCTGTGCCTGAAGTTAGCCTTTCCAACCCAGAAATACTGAAAGTATTATAAAGTTAATGCTAGTCTTTATAATAAGATTTTATATGCTAGCAACCTCTCATTAATTTAATATTTCAAGTTGGAAATAATTGTACTCAAGTTGTTAGTAAATGATTTACTTTCTAACATAACTTATGAAATTTATTATAAAATAATTTAAAGACTTTACTAATTTCATAATAATAGAACAATTCAATATAAGTTTATCTTTTAACAATTCTACGTTATATACAAAAAAAGTGTTTTTATTGCAGACTGTTATGTATCTTTTAATTATACCCCCAAAATGTTTCTTTGAATGGAAAATATTTATTATAAATAATATAAGAAAGAAGTTAAAGTATTTAAATTGATCTAATTATACTATAGATATTCCTTTTCCTACTTTTTAAAAGAAAACTCAAAGAAATTAAAAAACTATTTGTGATTACTCCAATCGATAAAGCTAACAGCAATTTTGGATTTATATGTAAAAGATTTTTTGCACAGGTTATAATAAATTAAATTAATACAACAAACACTTTTACTGAGTTTACTTAAAATAAAAATACAGTTATTAACAAGTTGCATAAATTTATCGAAAAAAAAAGGAATATACCTGTTGATTCTAAGTATTTAAAGTTACCTTTCTTATACGCAATTCCAAAACTACATAAAACTCCAATTAAGTTTCGATTTATTATAAACTCAATAAATCCCATTACCAAACCAGTAGCTACCATATTAAATAAAATTTTAGATTTACTATTTTCTGAAATAATACTAAAATCTCTAAGTATTTCAAAACATGTATTCTGTATAATAAAAAACAATACATAGGTATTGGAATGCTTAGAATTTCTAAATTCTTCGAGTTCAGCATTTTCTGTTCTGACATATGATTTTACCACATTGTATATGAAATTAAGTTTAAAAGATTTAGTAAAAGTCTTTAATAGCTTAATAGATTAACTTATAGTTGTAAATATAATTATTTCTAAATATAAATTTTCAATTTTACATTGTAAAAACTTCTGAATTTTTGTATATTTAATAACTATATAACCTTTAATGATAAAATATTTAAACAGATAGTAGGCATCCCTATGGGGGCTGATTGCTTTTCAAATATGGCTAACTTGTATCTTTATTTTTATGAAAATAAATTTATGAACAAAATAACAAATCCTAACAAATATGTATTTACTTTGTTATATTGACGATTTAATATTGATTAATAATCCAGAGTTTGAACCATCTGAAATTTATCTTAAACTTGAATTAGAACATAGCAATAGCAGTAATTGCATAGCACACTATTTAGATATAGACATTAACTTGTCAGAAAATAAAATGCAGTTGGACATATTTACTATCCTAGGATTGTCCTCCCCAAATAGTGTGGTGCCACATACATTGTTAAAAGATATAATTATTTCTCAAATTAAAA